GCAAAGGGCAGGGTGAAAATGGCATAGGTTCAGTAGGTTATGTCACGTGAGACGGTGACCTGATTGGTTAAAAGCGGTTGAAAACGTACGTTGGTGCACTCAGCGATGCGCGAATAAAAGACGACCAGATCAGAGTGGTTCCTAATAAACTAAACCTGGAGCGGGATACATGCAAGCGAAGGTAGAAACTTCAGAGGGATACGGTCTTCAGTAATACGTTTCAGAAATCAGGTACAGACTTTGGTAGGAAGAATGAAAATTTAAACAGCGAATAAGCTTACAGATATTTCCTGTGTTGGCATTTACCACCCTTCTCAGCGCCTAAATACGTCTCAATGAGGTCAGCGAAAAAATCTGATCTTGCAGTGTCACTCCACATACTCAATAAGAAATTCGACCACCCATCCGATACCAGACATGACCACGACTAAGTGGCCTGCATATGTCCTTGTCTTACCGATTTTCGTGGCGTTACACTATATTCCCCATGTTGTATCTTCTGTAGACTGCTTTCAAACCTTACCGATGTTCTTTACGGACGAATCACAGTTCTATTTGTAACTCTGCTCAAACGACAATAGAGAACCATCCACCATCAGATTACTCGGGTGAAATAGACCAATCTCATTGGTTGTGTAGGGGAACAAGGCCTTTACTGTTTTCATGAGGAACACTGCAGGCCACATTAAAAGTCCATAATGAAGTAAGCTAGATGGCAATTTTGAGTAGAGGGAAAGTGTGTACTAATTTGCACCCTAAGTCTGAATTATTTGGGTGTAGTCCAATCTCATTAGTTCATCCTACAAGTGAAGGTCCAGAGGACTGGGCAGGTTTCAGCTTGAATACTGTCCAGATAAGGACAATTACACACACACCAGGTTAATTTTTCCATAGCTTGACACAAGACTCCAAAAGGATGGTCATGAACCTGCTTTAAACAGATCTCTTTTGAAGTGGTATTCGAAGGCGACGACCGTTTAAAGCGCTTCCTGGGATTTGATTCGAATAATTCGGTACAATCGATTCGTGCTCCCTCGTGCAGCGTTTTAAGTCACCGAATCTGATTAGTTTATGCTCAGAATTTCCGGCCACCTGAATGGACGCGCTCTCGAGGATAAACAAAACTGCGAACATTATGCAAGCTTGATGACCCACGAACCGTTGCTTTAAAGAAAATACTCAGTGGTGATAGTGGTCAATCTTGTGCTTACGGAACTTCCCCGAAGATTCTTTGGACTGATGTAACGCTAATTTGTCTGCCTTGTGTACACTGTTGCAAAACAGCGTGTTTCTGAACGTACCACTAGACAAACGCGTTAACAAATAGCATGGAAATTCTATCCCCTACATACGTGGAATCTGTCCGTCTTTTGTTTAAGAGCTAAAACTGAAGTATTCTTACTGATACTGAACCTATCTCGCGAAAGCATCATAAAGTCAATGCACAGATCACTTGGGCTGAATCATTGTCACAACTGCGATCACTTTCACGTGGTTAGCACACCGACCCATGGGCGCGTTAATCAATGAGCATGTCTGTGAACATCCTGGGTCATGTCGAATTGTCATGCACGATTTCATTGTGCTTAGGGATGAGAGGATGACAGCGCCTCGGATCAATGGAAGACGAATGTATGGGTCAAACTTGGGCGGGGGTTGTTGTCGCGAATATAAGGTCGCATGCAATCACCTCACCGTCTGAAATGTCCTTTAAAAGTTGAACATTTAATGTCATAGGGTGGCTAGACAGTGACATAATCACAAGGGAGCACTTTGGTTAGTTATTCTACCTGTTTTTGCCAGCCTTTGGCGGAACTTTTCCACACGCTGACATACGAACAAGCCGGAGTTTGGGTGGCATTAGGTTGCACTCCAACCTTCTCAAAAAAGAAGTCCTCCAGTGAATGCTCCGTCGGGAAATAATTTAGCGTAGACCATCTGCCAGGAAGATGCAGATTCATGACTTTGTAAAAGACAGTTGCACGGGAATAGTGTCACGACAAATAGGTTCATGAGAAAAGCCACATTGGAAAGTTGCTGTACTTAATCGTGTCATGGCCAACGGAGGCGTAATTAGAATTAACCATTGAATTTGGCTCATCGTTGCCTCATCCACATAGATGCAAGATTCGACACACCCCTATTGTAGGCCATGGAACGATCATTGACGGACCAATGTCCATTTACATTAACCGAAACCAACCAGTAAGCACATACATATTCGCAGAACGAACACGAAACTAAACAGGAACTTATTGCATCGAAAACTAAGTGATTGACAGATTGTGGAGAGTCTACGGTCCCGCACGTTTATGTCATGTGCAAGTTCGTGTGCTGCTGAATGACTCGTGTGGTCAGTCGACGGATGTTTCACGAATTGGACACACCTACACAACTGCTCAGCTGTAACTTAAGAACAACACGCTCACTAGAGCCTTATCAACGCCGACTTAAAGATCCGCGATATCCCTGTAGAGGACCCACGGTGATTTACTTATCCTTAGATTGGTTCATAATACGTCCAGTTGGATCTGCAACTGAACTGA